CCACGACTCCCAACCCCGCCGCCACGCCGCACCGCCCCTCGACCCGCCCCTCTCCCAACCCCACCCACCGTCCAGCCCCGCCCATCGCCCCGCCCCCCGCGCTGGACGTGCTCGCTCCCGCGCTGGGCGCACGGGCGGGGCGGGCCGGCGCAGGCGGAAGTCGGAGGGCCCCTCCTCCCTCCCCTTCGCCGCGGGGGCGAGCGCGCAGGCGCCTCCTCTGAATCCGCTGCCGGCGCGAATCTCAACGTGTGGTGGGCGGCGGGGTAAGGCCGGGCTCCCGGGGTTCCGCAGCGCCCGGCTGGGTGGGGAGGGGCTGGGGGGCTCGCGCCGCGCCCTGCACGGAGCTGCACGCAGCGGAACTTGGTCATATACGTTTTCCCCAGGTCCTGTGCGCTGAGCGGGGAGCTTCCGGGCCTCGCAGCCCAGGCTGCAGGCTCGCCTGGGTGTGGGGTGGGTGGCGTGGACGCGGTGACGTGGGGGGGCCCCTTGGCTAGAGCGGTGTGGCGCCCTGTTCCTGTGGTCCTGAGAGTCTGGCCCCTGGAGGAAGGTGCGGGGACGTCGGGAGGGGTCCCTTTGCAAGGCGCGCTCACCTGCGATGGCAGCACCCAGGGGTGTCGTGTGCGCCTTGGGGAGAAGGACCTTTCAGACTGAAAAAAACCAAATTCCTCGTTTTTGGAATTTGTGTTGAGACGCGCTCTGAGTGCAAAGCAGGACGGAAAACTCAGCCGCCAAGCGTGGCAGCCTCCTTGGCCCAGTGGGTAGTGTTGAAAGTTACTGTATTTTTGGGTTACAGGTGGAAAAAGTAATAAAGGACCCTTTTTATTCTTCAAGGAGAAGAGTCTCACATCACATCTTTAACCATTAAGGGCTCAGGAAAACTAGGGACCTCCCCATTTTACACGTGAAGATCGCCATCCAGCAAATTCAGGACAGACCTAGCCCGTTTGGTTCAGTGGATAGAGCGTGGACTGAAGGATCCCGGGTTGGATTCTGATAAAGGGCACATGCCCGGGTTGCGGGCTCAATCCCCAGCAGGGGGGTGCAGAAGGCAGCTGATCAATGACTCTCATCATTGATGTGTTTCTCCATCTCCCTTTCTGAAATCAACAAAAATATATTTAAAAAAATAAAGGATCTACTCCTATGGGGTGAGATTACATTGTTGAATCCATCCTAAGTTGAAAATATATTTACTAACCTAAACTACCCAAAATCATAACCTAGCCTTTTTTTTTTTTTAACATAAACATCATCATGTTGATCATTTAATATATATATATATATATATATATATATATATATATATATATATATATATATAATTGATTTTTTACAGAGAGGAAGGGAGAGGGACAGAAAGTCAGAAACATCAATGAGAGAAACATTGATCAGCTGTCCCCTGCACACTCCCCACTGGGGATATGCCCGCAACCAAGGCACATGCCCTTGACCGGAATGGAACCCGGGACCCTTCAGTCCACAGGCTGATGCTCTACCCACTGAGACAAACCGGTTTCGGCTACCTAGCCTTTCTTAAACTTGCTCAAACACTTATGTTAGCCTTAAGTTGGGCAGTTATCTGGGGTTTCATCTCAAGAGTAATTGTCTTTCCTTTCTTACCAGAAGCAAGAGGCAAATAGGCAGTTTTGTAGACATGAGGGGATGTGAAAGGAAGTCCAGAAGACGCTGGCATTACAGTACACGTGGGCTGTTTACCCTTGTGATGGTGGCTGATGGAGCCGCAGGCGGTCTGGCTGCCGCCGACCAATGTTAGAATTGTAGAGCATTTTCACTAGCCCAGAAGAAGACCGAAATTCAAAATCTAAATACGTTTCTACTGAATTCGGATTGGCTTGTCACTGTGGTAAAGTTGAACTTCCTCAGTGGAACCACCATGAATCAGGGGTCTGTCTGTACTTATGAGTTCCTGTTTTCTGTCAACATTTTTCTAAGTACACAGAGCAAAGCAACTGAGACAAGAGGGTCCTTGCTTGCATGTGGTTTATTTCTAGTCGACAAAAAAAAAAAAAAAAGTAAATTTCCTTTTATACCTTTTTATTCTATAACACGTACAAGATAGTACTGTACATGAGTTGTAACTTGTTGACTTATAAAGTCAATATCTTTTATGTACCACGCAAATAAGAAACAGAACATTTCTAGGATCTTCTCAGAAGAGCCCCCTGGAGACCTCTTCCAATCACCACCCACTCCCTTCTCCCCAGGGGTAATCACTTTCCTGATTTCTCCCATCAAAAATTTCTTTTTTCCTATTTAAGAGGTTTTCATAAGTGAAGCCAAATATGTTCTATGGTGTCTAGCTTTTCTTACAATTATGTTTGTGAGATTGTTCCTTGTTGTTAGAAAACATAATTTCTCTATAAACATGATAGCACTGGGCAACTGTTGGGAATTAGGAAAAACATCGACATGTTGAGAGACCAAATCTTCTTTTGTATTGTCAGAATTTATATTAATTTGGACACATAATATACCCCCAAAATCAGATTGAGAAGGCACTTTATAAATTAGTCATCTATTCTACACTCTAAAAATATTCTTGTCAAGTAGTTGCTCAGCTTCTATTTAAAACGGTTAAAGAGGAGCTCCTTAAGAAAAAGTTCATTTCACGTTTGGATAGCTCTGTTTGTTAGAAAAGATGCCCTAATCATTAATCAGAGTACCTGTTAACCCTGGTTATCAGTTCTGGGTCCCTACAGAGCTTGATAATTATCATATGTTATCTGTTGCCTCCCTTTCAATTCTTATGCAGTTTTTTTTTTTTTTTTTTTTTTTCACGTTTAAGGACAGGACTTTTGCATATATTTGAATGATTCCTGGAGTTAGATTTGGTCCTTCATATATGTTGTCCATGTCTCTTTGGATATGATTGTTTAGTGTATCAGGTAGCTTTTTCTTCCATCATTGTGTGATTAACAAACTTGATCAGCATGATATTAGTTAATCATTATGTTTTTTAAGTTCATTATGAATAGTAAGTGTTATTGGTAGTTCATTTTTGCTACTTAAGGTTCCTGGGGAAGTATTTAAATATGATTATCTGGAACTGTGAATAATTAATTTAACTTGGTCATATTATTGATTTAAATTCCCAGGCAGAATATTAATTAAGCTTTATTTTTAAAACTAGACACCTGTACTTATAAAATCAATTTTAAACATAATGTCTAGGTGAAAAGTAGAGTGTTGGATTGCAGTTTTGAAACGTATAGTGGAGAATGTTGATAAAAGGGGCTTTTTAAAAAAATATATATTTTATTGATTTTTTACAGAGAGGAAGGGAGAGAGATAGAGAGCTAGAAACATCGATGAGAGAGAATCATCGACCAGTTGCCTCCTGCACACCCCCTACCGAGGATGTGCCCGCAACCAAGGTACATGCCACTGACCGGAATCGAACCCAGGACCCTTCAGTCCGCAGACCAACCCTCTACCACCAAGCCAAACCGGTTTCAGCAAAAGGGGCTTTTTGATTTAGACTAAAAGAATTTGAATAGTTTATAATGGCCTATAACCTTGTAAACCCAGAATCAACATCAAAAAGTGATTTAATCTGTCCTCTTATTTTGCCCCTGTGATAAAAGTTCTAGTGAACAGTAAAATGATCAAAGATGGATACAGTTGGAGGGAAGGAAGAGGGGATTTATATAACCTGAATTTGAATAATGTAGTTATATAACCTTACTAAATGCTTGCTGTCATTCTTGGTGTATTGCAATGTTAGACTTCATTAGTTCCAGGGTTGTATCTTGCTATTTTTAAAAAAAATATATTTTCATTGACTTTAGAAAGAAAGGGAGAGGGAGAGATAGAAACATCAATGATGAGAAAATCATTGATTGGCTGCCTATTGCAGGCCCCCACTTGGGATCAAACCCGCAATCCTGGCATGTGCCCTTGACCCGTATGGAACCTGGGACCCTTCAGTCCGCAAGCTGGCTGTCTACTCACTGAGCCAAGTCAGCTAGGATCCTCTTTTTAGCTAGGGTTTGTCTTAAAGTAAGAAAATAATTTTTCAATAGGTGGATTGTGCCAATTTTTCTCTAAAAATTTCAGTTGATTTACTTAATTGTGTTTGAAAAATATTTAAAGTATATCCTCTGGTTGAATTGGCTTGCAATTTTTGTTTTTGTCTTTTGATCCTGATTTATGGATTGGAAATATTCCTTTTACTAAAAAATGTGTTGACTGGATATAAGCTTTGGGAATGATCAGGGAAGGTTGAACTTTAACTGAATTTTGTAGAATGGCCAGGATTTCTAGGAATTTGTTCCAAGTTTTTTTTCAGAGAAGTGGGACGGGTTTTGAGAATCAGTTTGAACATAGGTGAAAATGTACATTTTGGAAGAAATATGTAAGAAGTCAAGCTGCATAAATGACATTCATGGAAGACTTTCTCAAACTAAGTAGAAAGATAAAATTCCTCTTTCTCGCTGTACCAACGATGCAGTCACCCCTTTGTTTACCCTTGTGTTAGTTTTACCTGTAGGTGAGCATGCTCTAGATAGAACTGAATGTTCTACTGCTATCGTGTCTCTTCACTCAGAAATATTTGCTTGTAAGGGCAGATCCTTACTTTATCTCTAGATATAGTAAGTCCCATTTAACAGGGAGAGCTTCCTAATTAGAGGGCTAAGGAATAAGGAGCTTAAAACTATTTCCTCTCCTTCATTCTCCCACTCCCACCACCCAATCCTTCATCTTCCTATTTGGTTTAATGAGTTCATTGTTACAGGTACTATGCTCAGCTAAATCTTGGTATCCTTTTTCCTCCGCTGCAGGTTACTTCTTCATCAACATAAAAAAAAAAAAATCAATATTTGTTTGGAAACGAAGCATCACTTAAAATCCCGTCCAATTCCTAATTCCAAAGAATCAATAACATTCTTTGATCAAGAAAAGAAGTGACTGACAGCGCGTGTTAAAAGTATTCTGGCCTGGTCCCGTGTTTTTTTCCCCCTCCCTACCTTTGAAGAAACATGGAGAAATGGTACTTGATGACAACTGTGGTCTTAATTGGACTAACAGTACGATGGACAGTATCCCTTAATTCTTATTCAGGTAACACAGTTTTACTGTTTAAAAAATTTTTACTGTTCAAATCCTTTGAAGAGTTTTCATTTGTTTATTTGATTTTTGGTGATAATTTATAGTTTCCTAAATGGGATAGAGAAGAATTTCAGGTTTAATTGAAAATGCAATTAATCGTAATTTTAATAAAAAGAATTTGTGTAAGAGCTAAATAGAGGCATGATGGACTTTGTGACCTGAGAAAACAAAAATGTATTCTAGCCGAGATCGGTTTGGCTCAGTGGATAGAGCGTCAGCCTGCGGACTGAAAGGTCCCAGGTTCGATTCCGGTCAAGGGCATGTACCTTGGTTGCGGGCACATCCCCAGTGGGGGGAAGGCGGGTGCAGGAGGCAGCTGATGGATGTTTCTCTCTCATCGATGTTTCTAGCTCTCTATCCCTCTACCTTTCACTCTGTAATAAATAAAAAAAATTTTAAAAAAATTAAAAAAAAAGTCAACTCCCTATCTAATTTAAAAAAAAAAATATTCTAACTGGGAAGATGACAAAATGAGAAACTTTGATGTACTAGACTTTGAAGATAGAAATGAGCTATTACTTCAAGGGGGCTTTTATCAATGGAGGTTTTTATTGTTTGTTCATTTGTTTTATTTAGGATAGAGAAGGCATGTTGTTAGATTGAAAGGAAGAGATGAGTGGAGAAGAAGATTGGGAGTGATGTGAGAGAAAGGGAGGGAGAATTGATGGAGTGAGGACCAGGAGATTGGAGATGGGGTTAAATTTAACCCTGTGAGTATTTATTTAGCACATATGTTCCAGGCACTTTTCTAAGTTCTAGAGATACAGGATGAATATCCAATACTTACAAGGCCTACATTTTTGTAGATAAGCGGTCACAACACAATGTGATAATTATACTGTAGAAGTCTGTGTGAGGTACAAAGATAACAGAAACAAAGGATCAGGATGCATTAGAGAAAACTTTTTTGAGATGATGCCCGAGTTCAGATTTGAAGGATGCGTTGGATTTGGGTACAGTTTAGTCATGTAAATAAAGGTGAGTTTGAGAGGTGGAATTTGTGTGGGGGCACGAGAACTCATGAATCCATCTTCAGCTGGTCACAGTGTGAGGCCCCAAACTTCACACTCCAGTGCAGCTTCCTAGTGAACTAGTCTAGGCCAAATGCAGGCTTTTTTTCTTGGCTAGAACCAAAATAGGCAGGTCCTTTTTGTCCTATTTCTCTCTAAGCTCACACTTCACCTTAGATGTCTATAGAGCAAAGCAAGCGCAAGGGATGAACTAGAAAATACGTATGCCAGTTCCCAGAGCAAACCTGATCTGGGTCGTCCATTCTGAGCCTTTCTGATATTGAGGCAATTTCCAGGTGGGAGGGGAGGGCTCAAGTGAATTCACGTCTCTCACATTTGGCAGCATTAAATTTTTGAATTTCTGCTAGGCTTCAGGGTATGAAATGATATTGATTGTAGTTTTAATTTGAATTTAATTCATTTCTAAAAGATTGAGTATGTCTTGATTGTGTTTATTAGCCTTTTTTATTTTCTTTTCTGTGATATTTGCCATGTCATCTGTACATTTGTTAGATTTTATTCTTGTATATTCTTATTTTTGTTGTTTTTTTCTGTTCCTGGCTCATCCCAGCCCCACTGTGCCTGCCAAGGGCTTTCACCCAATCAGTCCCAGTTAGCATTCACATGTGAAGATCTTCTATATCGTGGGTGGCTGGGAGAATTAATGAATAAGTATGACATCTACTAAGATTTCCCCCCTTCCCCTTATTAAATACAATACTTTTTGGGGGGTTATAATTTGTTTTTAACATGCTTATTTTAGTTTGCTTATTGTTTATCTTATTTTCAGACTATAATTAGGAAACACAGGAATGGGGAAGCTTAATATTCATTTATATTTCTTTTTTGGAAATGTATGTGTTGGGTAGGGAAACTCATATATATTGTAATTTAAAGATTTTAAAAAATGTATACCCCTTACATATTTACAATATACCCTTTATAAGTGCTGCTTATATAGTTTTTATAAACATAAACATATTGAATAAATATTGCTTGTTGCTTTTATTTATTTTATTTTATTTTACTTTCGCTTGTTGCTTTTGAACAAGTCTTGGGGAGGAGACAAATTCTGATCTTAGTATCATTTGTAGAGTTTCACAGTTCCTCTATACTTTGATCTAAAGTGTTACCATTGTCGTTAGAACAAATAGCAGCACTCGAACCAATTTTAATAATCCTTTTTTTCCAAAGCTCCATTGACTGCTTAGAAAGAGAAAGTGAAAAAGAACAATTTTGTTTGCAAAATATTAATTACTGTTAAAGCATGTCTGTGCTCTGTTTAGTTGGCTAGTTTTTCTCAGCTTACCTCTTGCTATCTGTAATGTTTCTTTTTACTCACCAGGAACATATAAAAGGGGATTTTGTTCTGGAAAGTTTTAGCCAAATTTTCTTCTCTTGGAATGTTTAAAATTTCAATGTAAAGACAAGTAGTATGTATGTTTTCAAAGAAACTACTTGTGTTTTTTTAAATTTTAATATTATTTTGAATGACTCAGCAGTTTATAAAATGAATATAGAGGTGGTGCTTAAGCCCATTTTCCTGAGAATGTGACAGAATTGAACCTTTGTAATATACATTAATGTGTTTGTTTTTTTTAATGTAATTCTGAGTCTCATGTAAATGAATTTATAGAATTAACCACAGCGGAAGGATTTCTTTTTGCCCTTCCCAAGTGAATCTCCCAGTTGGGTTGTCCTCCTGGGTTGCTTTAAGGGCACTTTAGCAGGTTTAAAAACTTAAGTACTAATTTCATAGCTAGTGTCAGCTGAATTTATTGAAGTAGGTCAGACTCTGGATAGAAACTTGTTTCTCAGCCCTAAAGAGAGTCATTATCCATTCTTCTATTTGTTAGAGAATGGTGATAAATTCTTCCACAATCTAGAGCAATTTCAGAAAATCCAGAAAGCCAGATTTTTTCAAGTATAAGAAATTACTTAAGATTCTCTCTGACTTCTACTATCCCAGTAGACCAAAATAAACAAAAACAAAACAAAACAAAACCAACTCTTTTCTCCTATAGACAATGGCCATAATTCTGAACAAAAGGAGAACTTTTATAAAATACACATGCAGGCCGAAGCCGGTTTGGCTCAGTGGTAGAGCGTCGGTCTGCGGACTGAAAGGTCCCAGGTTCGATTCCGGTCAAGGGCATGTACATTGGTTGCGGGCACATCCCCATTAGGGGGTGTGCAAAGGTCGATGTTTCTCTCTCATCGACGTTTCTAGCTCTCTATCTCTCTCCCTTCCTCTCTGTAAAAAATCAATAAAATATATTTTAAAAAAAATTAAAAAAATAAAATAAAATACACATGCAGAAAATTAATTCAATCAGGAATTATTTTACCTTTTAAACAAATTGTATGTTATTCCACCCCTTAGTTGATTAAGGGAGTTTTTAATGATAGTATGTACTATCTGCCTACCAATATATTTCCTTTGAACTCTAGAATTTGAAAATCATACAAATTAAAATTCTTATTTGGGTAGTAATTAGGAAATAGTATAGTCATATGATTTTAAAAATATAAATATTGTGAGAAGTCAGTAATTAATGATCAATATGTTTTTAATTTATAAGGGAAGATTTCATGGAGAATTTGGAATTTAAGATGATTTTTGAAGGTTGGATATAAGTTGATGTATGAGTTGGGGGTAGGCAGCACGAACAGAGGCTTAGGATTTCAGTATCAGACAGTAATTTAAAGATGTTTTTAGGCAAGAACCAGTATATGGGCAAAGTAGCCGTGGCATAATTAATTGGTCTGCCATCACAAATTGCTTAATGTTGCACATCGAGTAAGTGGAACTTCTATCTGACTTTTTAATTAATCCTCAGGGGAGGATATTTAGAGAGAATGGAAGAGAGGGAGAGAGACACAGAGAGAGAAGCATTGATGTGATGGGTTACCTTCTACTTGGACCCCATCTCTAACTGAGGTTATGTGCCCTTGATTGGAATTGAACCCAGGACCTTTTAGTCCGCAAGCCAGCTCTCTATCCACTGAGCCAAACCAGCTAGGGCAGAAACTCAGATCTTTTAAGAATACAAAATTGGCCAAGATACAATACTTTCTGAGAGACAGAGGGGTGTGTGTGTGTGTGTGTGTGTGTGTGTGTATGCATGTGTGTACATACATGTGTCTATGTACTGCGGGTCCTTGTGACAGTCACTCAGAGCATATGCTTTGGAGATGTTAATATGCTTTCCCATGATTATCTCATAGTGAAATCTCTCCTTGGGTAGAGATACTAGCATTTAAAGAGTATTGGTATAATATAGCCATTAGATGCAGAAAAATCTACTTAATGTAGTGTTTCAAAGCTGGACAAAATCTGGGTTGGATTTTAGAGAGCTTGACCCAATGTCTTTGTATCTATGTCTGTTCTTGGTTCTATACTTACCCTTAAGTTATATTTAGTTTATAAAAACCCTCTTTCAAATACAGATATTTATTATTATTATTATTATTATTATTATTATTATTATTTAATGATACTTTTTGGACAGTATGATGATAGTCTCATGAAATAAAAATAAACTGGATATTATAATTAGTATTATCAGCTAATTAATAACTAATTAACATTAATAGCTATAAATGTTAACAATATTTATTGAAAGTTTACTGTGTGCCAGGTACTATACGGTGCATTTTCTTCCTGTTGTCTTCTTTATTCCAATGGCCCTCTAGGTGGGTAGTATTGATCCTGTATGCTGAGGATCAGGGAGGTTAAGTAATTTGCCTGAGGTCACACAGTCACTCAGTGTGCTAGCAGTGCTAGGATTCAGACCTCATCTGGCTGGCTCTTTTGGTAACTTGTGTTCTTTTCCGCCACGTACACTGCCTCAATAATTTAGACATTTTTCATAAGGAAATAAAAATCTCCGATGCACTAAAGTATATTGTTGTTTTGCTCTTTTTACTCTTCATCTTAGGTGCTGGAAAACCCCCTATGTTTGGTGACTATGAAGCTCAGAGACACTGGCAAGAAATCACTTTTAATTTACCGATCAAACAATGGTATGGGCAATTTTAAATTGATTACATTATTTATCATAGTCCATTAAAATAGATTATTTGAAGATGTTTAAAAGGAAAATCATGCTACTATTTTTTTCTTTTTTTTAGTTTGCATTCTCATCTTCCTGTATACTGATGTCATATATATTACTTTGCTTACTGTAGGTCCATTTTGAAATATTTCCAGTCCAACCAGTTAGAGTATATCTGTTCATCATTTTTACTGTTAATTGTATATACTGTTAGTATATATCTTTGTATGCTTTTGGAACCTCTTTTACTCTCTCCAGTGGAATCTCAAGGTTTAAATAAATGAAAAATAGCTTTTGACTTCTAAGAAGCTGAAAATCAAATCAAACTGTGCTTGTCAAAATGTGACTCTTAAATTCTTGTTTTCCATTGCTCTGTCCATCTAATAGTTTTTTTTTAATAATTAAATATATTGATTGATTTCAGAGAAGAAGGGAGAGGAAGAGAGAGATTCAGTGATAAGAGAGAATCGTTGATTGGCTGCCTCCTGCACACCCCTATTGGGGAGCGAGCCCAAAACTTGGGCATGTGCTCTGACCAGGAATTATACTGTGACCTCCTGGTTCATGGGATGATGTTCAACCACTGAGCCACATTAGCTAGGCCATCCAATAGTTTCGAGGCTAATAATCAATTAGAACTATTTTGCACTCACTTTGTGTCAGGTAGTCACCTAATAGCTTTACATGTTTAACCCAGTCCTTTGACAACTTTATAAGGTAGATATAATAAAACTTTATGTTAATATATACTGTAGTGACATGAATTTGGAAATAACACAATTGTGTTATCGTACCTGTCTTCAGTCAACCCTGTTTAGAGAATAGGACTTCTGGTCCCCACTGTTGGCTGGCCTAGTGTCCCAGATTTAAGCTGTCAATAGGGGCACCAACCAACATGGGAATTCTTGGATTCACTGCCTTTCAGCTTTAGGTCCCAACGCAGATCCAGGATCCAGGATTATTCCCGGGGATATTGCTGCTGGAGTGGACAATCACCCCCAGATAGTACCACACTGTAGTACTCTGCCCAGATCTCTTGGCTGTTTGGCACACTTGGATCATTTTATTATCCCAGGTCACTCCATTCAGACCTACATTTTATGGGACTGGCATTAAGAGAATGAACAATAACAGGCATGGGATCATGATGAATGCTAACTTAAATTTTTTTAAAATCCCAAGGTAAGAGATTGTGATGCTGAGAAATTGTCACCCATTTGAAACAGGCTTATGAATGATGGTTATTGTGAGTTATATAGTTTGGACTCCATAATTGTAAATTCTTATGATTGAGAAAATAAGTTGGATAGAAGAAGTTGCCTCATTATAAAGGATATAACAGAAACCTGTTTTATGTAAATTTCACCTTCATTTCTTGAGTCATTCTAATTATATAGTTTCTTCCCATTCTGGCCAATTGAAGGAGCCTATTGGTTTATGAATGTTAGATCTAGTTTTCTTCCTTAATTTATAGAATCTTGCAAAACATAGGCTGCGGTTACATCTTGATTTGTTTTCAAAGTTTTCTGTCTGTTTCTCTTCCCATAAACCATATCCGTATGTGTTCTCTGATATTCATTTATTACTTTTTAAGATTGTGATTTTATATTGTTTCTTTAATTTGTTAGATTCTAAGAAGCAATTTGTCGTTTTTGGTTGCATATTTTCTTTTATACAAGTGTTAGTCATTGATTAAGTCTGCTAATAGGGAGTGATGCTAAGTTTTGGTTTGTCTAGGACAATCTTGGTTTGCATCTATTGTTCTTGCTTAATTATGAATAGCTCACTCTTTCACTTTTAAGAGTGTGTTGGTTTAGACAATAAGTTACTTAGTCACGCTACTCAATAACAACTTTCAATTGTAAGTTCACAAAAATTTTTAGAAGGGTAAAAGACAAGAAAGTTTAGATAAAAATGTTTTAACTTGTCTGACATATCTTTTCATTTTAATTAAATTAAATGAGACAAAATGTTAAGTATAATCTATGTTCTGAATATTGATTATTTGAATGATGCTTTTTCTTTTTCTTTTTCTTTTTAGGTATTTTAACAGCAGTGATAACAATTTACTATATTGGGGATTGGATTATCCGCCTCTTACAGCTTATCATAGTCTTTTATGTGCATATGTGTAAGTTTTTATTTCTTAATGTAACTATTTATGTCATTAGCAGATTTAGTAGAAACAGTAGGATCTGGCTTTGTTGAATAGAGGAGAGATTGTAGCTACTGTTGTATTATGTTTGTAAAGAAAGCTATACCTTTCTTTGCAGTCGGGTTGTAAGAAAGTTAACTATCAGTTTGAACATTTCTATAATTCCTTTGGAGGACAGGCTAGAAAGAAAGGCAAAAGTTAGCTTTGTTTTGAAGCGGAGTTGTTACCAATTATGCATGGTCAACTGAGAAATAGGTCTAATATGGTGAGTTGTGCATGGGAAAGTTTTTTTTCTGGAATGGCCTAAAGTACATGAAAAATATGGGTCCAAATGGTATTCTGACTAATCTAGTTAGGTTAGAAACTAGAATTACTGTAGCGTTTCACTTGAGATTTAAGATCAGGATTGGAATGCCTTCTTTTATAAGAAGGTTTGTTGAAGACTAGGAACTTCTGTTTGGTGGAGACCCAGTTTTACTCTGTGGTGCTATTCCATTTCACACTTGAAGTGTATCAGCAGAAATTTGAGGAATTTCACAGTATCCTCCAAATTCATCTTATTTGTTTTACTATTTCCTATTTTGTAAAAATTAGTGTCCTGGATTAAAAATGAGTTCCAAAACTACATGATAATAAGTTATATTTTTCAGTGTTCAGGGTAATGTAATATAATTGAAACTTAATTTATCTTTAACAATTATGTTTAGTTTTATGCAATGATTTGTGATTAGTAACTATTTATTAGAGCTGATTGTTATAACTGAAAAGATTATAAATTATAAATCATTAGAGGTCCAGTGCACGAAATTTATGCACTTGGTGTGGGGCGGGGGGAGTCCCTCAGCCCAGCCTGTGCCCTCTCACAGTCCGGGAGCCCTTGAAGGATATCCTATTGACGGGGATGCCATCAGTTGGATATCCTTAGTCTATCGTGGAGGCTGGAGAGGCTCCTGCCACTGCTGTTGCACTCACCAGCCATGAGCCTGGCTTCTGCCTGAGTAGTGATCCCCTTGTGGGAGTGCACTGACCACCAGGGGGCAGCTCCTGTGTGGATCATCTGCCCTTTAGTGGTCAGTGTGTGTCATAGCAACTGGTCATTCCACCATTCGTCAATTTGCATATTAGTCTTTTATTATATAGGGTGATCCTCTGGTCAATACTAGCATATTATTCTTTATACAGAGAATAATACTAGAGGCCTCGTGCATGAAATTCGTGCAGGGGAGGGGTCCTTCAGCCTGGCCTTCACCCTCTCGCAATCTGGGACTCCTGGCTCCTTACTGCTTGTCTGCCTGCCTGATTACCCCTAACCACTCTGCCTGCCTGCCTCATCACCCCAACCACTAGCCTGCCTGTCTGATCGCCCCTAGTCACTTGCTTGCCTGCCTGATCTCCCCTAACTGTCTCTGCCTGCCTGCCTGACCGCCCCAACCACTGGCCTGCTTATTTGCCTGATTTCCCTTAACCACTTGCCTGCCTGCCTGATCACCCCTAACCACCTCTGTCTTGGCCCCCGCTGCTGCAGCTTCGTCTGGAATGACGTCCAGAATGATGTCTAGAAAGTCATTTGTCTGTCTTGTCTAATTAGCATATTACACTTTTATTATTAGAAATGTGCTTAATAAGTGAAATGCCACACTTCACATTGTTTTTAAACTGGAAGAATTGCCAAGGTAGGGTTCTTACACATGTTATAAGATTTCATTGGGAGATGAGCAAGGCAGACTCTGTTTTTTAGCTTAAATCCATTTCACATAATTATTATAAACAAAAAACTCATGCATCAGCCTTAATTGCTTTATAAGAGCAGTGTCCATTTCTCAAAATAAATTCATATGTCCTCAGATGTCCTTATTGTTAAAATGACAGGGAATGAAGTGTGTGTATATATGCTTTGATTTGCAGGGCAAAGGTTATAAATCCAGACTGGATTGCTCTCCATACCTCACATGGATATGAGAGTCAGGCACACAAGCTCTTCATGCGTGCAACAGGTAAAAGAACAATAGTTATTGAGTGTGAAATTTGACTTTCAAACATTTTTTGAAATGCTCAAAGGTTCTGTTATCATTCCTACTTTTAAAATTGTACAACTATACATATGCATATTATGTAATTTCAAAATATATTTGTAAACTAAAAGAGAAAAGAGTAGAAAGGAATAATTCTGGGAGCTTTACATTGATTATCCCACTTAATAATTTGAATACCCAATGAGGTGAATATTATACTTATTTTAAGGGGAGGAAACTGAGGCATAAGTCAGTGAGATTAATAGCTTACTTGAGGTCTGATAACTATAAATTGAAGTTTTAGTTGTTTAGGTTGTTGTGTTAATATTCTAATTCCAAATCCCTTTAGCCTTTTTCTTAAAGTAAACTTTATAGTCATATCTCATTCATTGTGTTGCTGTCCATTGTTGTTATATTAATCCACTCGACAAATGTTTGTTGAGCATTTATTGTATGCTGTTCTAAAAGCTTTACACGACTTAAACTTTAACTAGAGGCCCATTTCATGAAATTCGTGCACTCAGGGGGGGTGGGAGCAGAAGGGAGCAGGTCCCTCAGCCCAGCCTGCACCCTCTCATAGTCCAGGAGTCCTAGGGGATGTCCAACTGGCAGCTTAGGCCTGTTCCCTGGACATCCTTAGCGATGCTGCAGAGGCAGGAGATGCTCTTGCCACTGCTCCTGCGCTTGCCAACTGTGAGCCCAGCTTCTCGCTGAGTGGTGCTTCCCCAGTGGGAGCTCACTGACTACTAGGGGACAGCTCCTGCGTTGAGTGGGATAGAGCCAATACTAGCTCTCTGACATCCCCCGAGGGTCCTGGATTATGAGAGGATGCAGACCAGGCCAAGGAACCCCACTGGTGCACCATCAAGGCTGGGGAAGAATGTAGGAGGTTGGTCAGCAGCAGAGGGACTGCGGGAGGGCTCCAGGGCGTGTCTGGCTGGCCATTTTTCTCAGTTCTGGTTAGCTGGACCCCAGCAGCAAGCTAAGCTACTGGTTGGAGTGTTTGCCCCCTGGTGGTCAGTGCACATCATAGCAAGTGGTTGAGCCGCCTTAGCATATAATTAGCATATTATGCTTTGATTGGTTGAATGGGCAACTGGACATCCAGACCCTTAGCATATTAGGCTTTTATTATATAGGATTATTTAGGATGCTAGCCTGGATATTTTTTTCAATTAGTCTAAATTTAGTAGAGTTCTCTCTCTCTGTCTTTTTAAATATGTTTTATTGCTTTTTTTTTACAGAGAGGAAGGGAGAGGGATAGAGAGCTGGAAACATCAATGAGAGAGAAACATCGACCAGCTGCCTCCTGCACACCTTCTACCGGGAATGTGCCCGCAACCAAGGTACATTTCCTTGCCCGGAATCGAACCTGGGACCTTTGGATCTACAGGCTGTCACTCTATCCACTGAGCCAAACCGGTTTCGGCTAGTAGAGTTCTCTTTACTATTCATCCAGGCATGGAATCTCAGGCCCAAGAGATAGCTGTCCTGCCAGTCTTTTCCTTTCCCACACCATTCCCCTTTCTCCACAGTGCTTTAGTCCACTCTGAACTACATACTTAACCCATAACTGTTTAGTGTCTGAACCAATACCTATGTCTGCAGGGAACTCACTCTCTTTAGAGACTGTTTTGTTTTCAGAGAGCACCTTTCATTAAAAATGCCCTTCTTCTATTGAACTTCCACTAGGTATTTTAGGTTCCATTTCCTTGGGCTACATCAAGCATGTCAAACTCATGGGCCACTGGCCACATGCCTTGTTTATTTAGCCCGTGTTAGCCTTTAAGTTTGACATGCTTGGGTAACATAGAACAAGACTGATCCTCTATATACTTAATACCCTAAAGACATTTGAAGTCACCTTTTCCCTGAGGAGGTGCGACATCCTCAGATCCTTTAGTTGTTTCTTAGATGACCCGTTTGCTGAATGCGATTACGGTCATGAGGCCTCTGGCTGTGCTCGTTGGTATATGTTTCAGTCTGTTAGTGTCATCTTAAATGTTGGCACCTGGAGCAGTGTTAGATTACACACATCTAACACTGACAATTTTCTGTCATTTATCTTATCCTAGACACTATATTTAGGGTAGTGCAAGAAAAAAATAGGCTGTTCGGATGGCTGTGTTGTACTGTTGAAGAACTTAATGTACACTACTTGTTTTTCTTTGTTCTAAAAAGATTGGATATTCAGAATTACGAATTGCTTTTATGTTAAAAACTTTTTTTAGTTTCCTTCTCACCTGGGGCTTTCAAGTTCTTTATATGCATGAATTAGTAAAGGTTTATGTATTTTTTCTTTTTAATTAATCCTCACCTGAGGATATTTTTCCTTTGATTTTTAGAGAGAGTGGAAGGGGAAGGAAGAGACAAAGAGAAACATCATATGACAGAGACGCATCCATTGGTTGCCTCCTGCATGCACCCTGACCAGGGCCGGGGAACCTGCAACTAAGATATGTGCCCTTGACTGGAATCAAACACAGAACCCTTCAGTCTGCAGGCCCATGCTCTATCCACTGAGCCAAACCATCTAGGGCTAAAGTTAATGTATTTTTAAATAATATTTTAAAAAAATTCTATGCATTGATTGCCACATTTGAGGTATTCTTCACAAGAGAAAATTTGGAGTATACAGATAGTTAAAAAATAAAAAGGTTGTCTTTCCTTGCTTTGAGTATTCTTAATAATAAAAAAATATATATATATATATTTTTTTTTCTTTTATATATATATATATATACACACACACACACACATATATTATTGATTTCAGAGAGGAAGGGAGAGGGAGAGAGAGCTAGAAACATTAGTGATGAGAGGGAGGTATTGATTGGCTGCCTCCTGCATGCCCCCTACTGGGGATCAAGCCCAAAACAAGGCTTGTTTTAATGTGCCCTTGAGGGAAATTAAATCCAGGACCCTTCCTTCTGCAAGCTGATGCTCTATCCACTGAGCCAAACTGGTTAGGGCCGAGGCTCTTTGTCCCCATTGAGTGTGGCTCTTCCACAAAATACCATGGCCTGGGTGAATCTATTTGAACAAGTGGCATTAGAAAATGTTTAAGTTTAGCTGAGGCCGGTTTAGCTCAGTGGATGGAGCGTCGGCCTGCCGATTGGGGGGTCCCGGGTTCGATTCTGGTTGGGGACATGTGCCTTGGTTGCGGGCATATCCCCAATGAGGGGTGTGCAGGAGGCAGCTGATCGATGTCTCTCTCTCATCGATATGTCTGGCTCTCTGTCCCTCTTCCTTCCTCTCTGTGGAAAATCAATAAAATATATATATTTTTTAAATGTTTAAGTTTAAAAAATCTGGCTCTCAAAAGAAATCTCAATCGTTGAACTGTTGATATTTGGCTCTGTTGACTAATGAGTTTGCCAACCACTGGGTTAGGGCATTGAGTATGCTTATTTTTTAAATTCAAGTCAGAGCAAAGAGATAATTAATTTGGATACACCTAATTGATTCAATGTGTGAATTTTTTAGAGAAAATTAAGAGTGTAGTACCATATCCGTTGAAATCTGGCAGAGGCCCCGGTCAGTGTGCCTCAGTTTTTTGGAGTATTGTCTCATACACCAAAAGGTCTTGGTTCGATTCCTGGTCAGGGCACATACCTAAGTTGTGGGTTCAGTCCCAGATGGGCGTAGAGAAGTAGCCAATTGATGTTTCTCTCTTTTCAGGTGAGGAATTAAAAAAAAATTGCCAGAGGGAAAGGGAATGGCTCACATGTAAAGGACTTGTCCAGAGTGGGTAGGAACTCTGGGTTAATAGAATTCACACTCAAGGTTGGAGGGAGGGAGACGATAAGTATATCATTGTAGCTCCTGATGGTTTCACAATTAAAATAATTTGCTTGTGTTTCTTTTTTCTTTTTTCTTTTTTTTTCTTTTTTTAGTATTAATTGCTGATTTGCTGATTTACATACCTGCAGTGGTTTTATACTGTTGCTGTTTAAAAGAAATGTCAACTAAGAAAAAGGCAAGTTTTAAAGCAACCTGACATTTCATCTCTGAAATATTTTATTAGCTTAACCATTGAGTATGACGCTTAAGGAAGCCATGCTTTTGGGAATAGATACTAATAGGGAATATTATATATCTGTCAGTTAATTTTCATTTAGAAAACATCAGCTTACCTTAATTATTTTAAAGCCCAACTGTAGTAATAAGATGCATTGAATTTTAGAAGTTACATACTACAGAGTCATGCGGCATGTTGAATTTATTGCTTAGTGGTAAATCTGAATTTATATCATTTACCTTATTCTGGACACTGTATTTAGTGTAGTGCAAGAAAAAAATAAGCTTTTTGATGGCTGTGTTGTACTATTGAAGAACTTAATGTACAGTTTTGTTTTTCTTTGTTCTAAAAGGATTGGATATTCAGAATTATGAGTTGCTTTTATGTTAAAACTTGTAAGGATTGACTACATCAAAAAACATTTTGAAAAGTTGCTATGTAGTCTCACAATCACAGTCAACAAATACTTTTTGGGATAGATTAATCATCAGATTAACTTCTCTGACCTGTGTATCTAATGTGCCTTCTCTGACTAACACCTTTTAGTGATTTCCTTTTTACTGAGGCATCCTATCCATGAAGTATCACCTCCATGAATACTGTAGTGTTTGAAGAGTTGTTTTATATAAATGCAATTTTTTTGATAACTGGAAGGTAAGAGGGGGAACATTTGCTACTGTGTTACGTGAAGCTACACTTTTACCCTGTTTGATTCAAGTAACAGATTACTCTCTTAATTCACAATGTTTGTCTTTACAGGTTGCTAATGCATTATGCATATTGCTGTATCCAGGCCTTATTCTTATTGACTATGGACATTTTCAGTATCCTTTACTAATGTAGAAATGAAGTCAGATGCATGCATATTAGGAAATCTAGGCTCAATGTGTATAATGTTATCATTCAGTAATATCTAATTTGCTAGGGTACTTACTTATATAAACTCCTAGAGGCCCAGTGCACGAACATGCACGGGTGGGGTCCAGCCGGCCCACCCTGATGGGGGCCCATTGGGGCCGGGCTGCTGGGAGGGAGGAGATTCTGGAGGTTGGCTGGATGGCCCCACCTTTGATCAGGGTGGGGGGACCAGTTGGTGGTCAGACTGGCTCAAGGAAGGGATAACGGGTGGTTGGCCACTCGGCACCACCCATGATCAGGGTGGGCGGTGCCAATCGGAGGCTGGGCTGGCTGGGGGGGAGGGGCCTTGGGAGGTTGGGAATGGCTGATTGGGGCCTCAGTCGGGCAGGTTGGCCGCCACAGTGCATGTCATAGCAACCGGTCATTGTTGTTCTGTCGGTCCAGTCGCTTGGCTTTTATATATATAGATGTTCACGATGCTCTATAAGAATCTCTTTTAGCTTTTACTTAAAAGGTAAAATAAAGATTTTTTAAAAGTAGAATTGCTTTTTCACATCCGTTTGGCTTGATAACTGATTAGTTCTTCTGAAGAGTTGGACAGAATGCCAAGTGTGGTTAGATTCTCTTAACATACCCGCTATCTTTTATAAATGTTACCTGACACTAACAAAGGAAAACAGTCTTATAATTTTTTGAGTTTTAAAACAAGATGTTTCTCTAATCGGGTAGCCAGAAGCTTCAGAAAACTGAAACTGAATAATTAAAATTTGCTATGTGTATTTTATGTGTACTTTTGATATATAAAATTAAGAACATTCAAATAAATTTCGGAGTGTGGAGGGCTTTTTACTGCAGTGTTAATTTCTCCACTCGCTGTCCCAGATGATTTGTTCCATTTCTTTGGAGAAATATTCCTTCTTTTGTTGCTTGTGGTGGTAAATGGTTTGGCTGCAGAGGAGTGAGGTGGGATTTGATTTCTCCATCTAGGGATTTGCAGTTAATCCTCTTGTTTTCTTTTAAAAACATTGCTCGAGACCTCTAACCTACGTGGTGTTTCCAGAGCTCTCCAGGGGCTTGCAAGGTGGGCTGGCTCCTTGCTTGCCTAAGCTTCCTCTGGGCTGTGGCTTCTTTCATCCAATTTATTTGTTACCACTTTTCTGTCCTCTTTCTGTCTCCTAGAAATGTGTTGAAATCTTGATCTACTATAACCCAACTTCTTGTTTTTTTTATGGCTGTGAGTTTATACTTTAAAAGCTTCTCTATCTTAAGGGGGTTTAGGGAAGGAGAGGAGGTAAACATGAGTGCCTAGCTCACCATTTTGGACTGAAAATTTAATTGTGATGTTGTTTAAATATAACTGCTATTTGTTTGTATTTAAGCACTTATATTTATGCTGATGCATATTTATAGAGAAGTATAGTGATATCAGTAAATTTTGTGTGTTTTTTTTTTAATTTTTGAAGCATCATTTTATAATAACTGAAATAGTCTTGCAGAAACAAAGCTATATGTTAACTATTTAGAGTTCTTTTAAAGCTAAACCAATCATTTGCTGTTTAACACTGGATTTTATATATTTGAGGCCAGTATTTATAATTTCAAATGTTTATATACATTCAATACCTTCCATTTCTATTTAGAATAGCTTTCATATCCCTAATTTTTAAATTGTGTAAGAAATACACTGTATAAAATGCAAGATCTACCTCTTTTAATTACTGAGATAATTTCCTTGACACAGGGACAGATATAACTCTGTGAGTCTTGGCTTCGCTCTGTGGGGTATTCTCGGAGTATCTTATCACTGGGACCTGCTGGGATCACTGGCATTTTGTCTAGCTATAAATTATAAACAGATGGAACTTTACCACTCCTTGCCATTCTTTTGTTTTCTCCTTGGAAAGTGTTTTAAAAAAGGTCTCAAAGGAAAAGGGTGAGTGGCTTCTAAACACCAACATTTTACAAAGTACCCCCGAGAATGCACGTGGCCTACTTACCTGGAGGAAGGTCTTTCACTGGCCTTTTGATGGTTTCTTACTAATGTGTTGACTATGGGGAGAGCAGGAAGAGAGATTGTCATGTTCTGTATTTACTGTAAATCTTCCTAACTAGAAAAATGTTTATTTTAATTTTTAAAAAATATATATTTTATTGATTTTTTTACAGAGAGGAATGGAGAGAGAGAGAGAGAAACGTCGATGAGAGAGAAACATTGACCAGCTGCCTCATGCACACCCCCTACTGGGGATGTGCCCGCAACCAATGTACATGCCCTTGACCGGAATCGAACCTGGGACCTTTCAGTCCGCAGACCGACACTCTACCACTGAGCCAAACCGGTTTTGGCTAGAAAAATGTTTTGATTGATGTACATTTCCTGTAGGTGAGGTGGGTTGGTTGGTTAGCATTGCTATAGAATTTCATCCATTTAAGAAAATGTTAGGTTACATACTTATTAATCATATAATCCTAATTTGACATTTGTCTTCATGGCTATATAGGAATGGCATCTAAGTTAAATGTTAATTAGGATGGTGATAGTTTTTTTTGTTAAAGAAGTGCAGATCTTTTTTTTTTATTTTTTTTAAATGATTTTATTGATTTCAGAGAGAAGAAGGGAGAGAGAGAGAAACATCAATTGGCTCCCTCTTCTGTTCCCAATCCTGGGGATTGAACCTGAAACCCAGGCATGTTCCCTGACTGGGAATGGGACCTGCAACCTCTCGGTGAATGGGACAACGCTCAGTCAGCTGAGCCACACCTGCAGGGTGAAGTGCACATGGCAATGGTTTTGAATTTCTTAACCCTGATTTGAGTAGACTCCCATCTTAAATCTATGTCACTGGCATAGATTTACCATTACTATACATTGGCATTTCTTACCTTTAGCATGGTTCCGATTTTCTCAGAAGCATTAACTTTTTGGCTCCCTGGCTGCCTTTGCTTTTATTCCAGGCTCGTGCTGCTCATTAAGCTGGCGTGTACTGTTGTGGCTTCCTTCGTTCTCTGCTGGCTGCCGTTTGTTACAGAAAAGGAGCAAGCCCTGCAGGTTCTCAGGAGGCTCTTCCCAGTGGATCGTGGATTATTTGAGGCACGTGCACACTCTCCTATCACTCCTCTCTGTTCCCTTCCCTGTGGCCACTGGGATTTCCTGTAGAAGACCCTCAAGGGATAGTAACTTCAGCTGCTCTCTTCTTGCCCTCATTCCTTGCCAATTATTTAATTCAGTGTAAACCGCTAGCTCAGCTGGCATTTTCTAGTACATTACATGCATAGCTAATATTTATGCCATCATGCGATCCATAATCCACTTACACATATTTCTAATGAAAGGGGTCCAGAATGAAGACAGCATGAGAAGTTGCAGCTACAGACTTAACAGCTCTGTTTTTTTTTGGTTTATTTTCTCTTTAGTCTTAGGAAATTACTTATTAAACTAATAATCATGTTTGCTTCAGAAAGACCTCATAATTCCTTGTGAGATATATAAATACAACCTTCACCCACAGTAATTTTTAATGAGAATCTTCCATTTCATTTAATGCTAGCTTAATCACTCTTGTTAAACTTTAATTACATGGGTAATTTAATGATTTAGATTTAGTAATTAAGCCATTTCTCTGAAACAAAAGGCCCTTTTAATAAAGTTAGACAGAGACAACATATTTATAGATAATTTGTTTTTGAATAAACATTTCTTTTAAGAAGAATTATATAATTTCTAATATAGAGATTGGACCCAGCATTTTGAGACTAAGAGAATTTGATTTGTGAAGGAACAAGAATGTGCGACTTGTATGCTGATGGAGATGCTGTTGCTGATACTGATAATCATGAACAGTCACTATTATCACCACTTATTAGGTGCCAGATACCTCACATGATTTTATTTGATCCCTACAATAGTTCTGAGGTATCTATTATACCCACTTGACAGATCGTAAAACTGAGTTCATGTAGCAAGTGTGCAGCAGAGCTGTGATTTACACTTTGAAAATTGTGCTCCTATCTTCTTTATATTTTTCTAACCTGAACACTTCCTAGTATATAAAGAGAAGTTTGAGCCCTGGCTAGTGTGTTCAGTGGTTAGAGCATTGGCCCATGCATCGAAGGGCTGTGGGTTTGATTCCTGGTCTTGCAAGTTTGATCCCCAGCCCTGGTTGGGGCCTAGTGCGGGAGGCAGCCAATTGATGTACATCAATTTCTCTCTCCCTCTCTCTCCCTCTTTCCATTCCTCTCTCTCTCCCTCCTTTCTACTCTCTGAAAAAGCAATGGGGAAAAATATCTTCGGTAGAATTAAAAAAAAAGTTTGATTCTCCTTGTAAGTTGCCTGGTTATGTGCCTTGCCTTCTATTTAAGAGATGGCATTTAGCATGGTAAATATAAAAATGGATATTAAGCCGAAACCGGTTTGGCTCAGCGGTGGAGCGTCGGTCTGCTGACTGAAAGGTCCCGGGTTCGATTCCAGTCAATGGCGTGTACATTGGTTGTGGGCACATTCCCGGTAGAGGGTGTGCAAGAGGCAGCTGGTCGATGTTTCTCTCTCATCGACGTTTCTAGCTCTCTATCTCTCTCCCTTCCTCTCTGTAAAAAATCAATAAAATATATTTTTTTAAAAATGGATATTAATATGTTTGGTGGTGTTGCAGGTCACCTCCATTCCCTTGTTGCTCTCAGAATCTGAGAGCATTTTTTTTTTTTTTTTAAATCTTCCGGAGGGAAGTAGGGTGGTACAGCTGTCAGTGGTAGTTACTTTCTTGATGTTTTGCCTACACAGCTGTGAGTCAAGCAGCTGGGTAGAGGATAGGTTTCACGAACAGAGAGCTGTAGTTACAAATTTAATTTTGAAAGTGATCCTAGCACAACTGCTAATGCCTTTAAACTTCTTGATTTATTAGCAATTCACTCTTGTCGTTGCTAGTAGCTAGGAAGTTATATTGGATAATTTCAGATGTGTGATAAAACGGGTCACAATATGTGTACTACACACTAGGAAAACAAAAACATTCTAGAAACATTTCCAAAGATGAATAACTTCATTATTTAGGGATAGTGTGCTGTTCTTAGAAAAATATGAAGTATTTCTTGGGAATGTCTAGATTAGGGTTGGGTAGTGATGTAGATAAAGTTCCATTGCAAAAAAAGTGAAAAATGCTTACTGTGTGTGTTCATACGCATTACTTAGAACGTTTAACCAACTTATAAAATTGTGAACAAAAGCTTTACGTCTCACAAGTTTATTTAGAAGTTATGGACTGTACTTTGTGGAGTTTGGTATTTCTTTCCCTTATATCAGAATGTAAAACTAACAAATCTCTTTTAAGGATAAAGTAGCCAATATTTGGTGTAGCCTAAGTGTCTTTCTGAAGATCAAGAATATTTTGCCACATCACACCCAGATAAAAATCAGGTAAGAGTCACAAAGTGTGTATATAGTGTTTTGTATGCTTTCCTCAAAGTATTATGGTAATATCTCGTTTATCTGGCATCATTAGGGAATGAGCTGGCCTAAGCCCTTTTACTAGTAAAGAGCTTCTCTTTGATTGAGTCAGGCACACTCAAGACTATCTTCCTGTAGATTAACCTAAAATCAACTGATTAGGGTCTTTGATTAGTTCTGCAAAATCTCTTCCCAGCAGCACCAAGACTAGTGTTTGAATAACTGAGTGAAGGAGTGTGTGTGCTGCCTTCCTCTCCCATCCGGTCCTTTCACGAATATCCCTTAGAGCCCATGAGACGAGGGATTGTAGTTCTTCCAAGCCAAGCTGGCACACCCCAAAGCCACCAAAAGTGGGAAAACCAGTTACTGTATGCGTCACGATCTCCGTGTCAGAGCTTTCGGGGCTGTGTGCCGTGATACCACATGGCTCCAGATGGCTCCGCTATGGAGTTCTCCCCCTGTCCATCAGCCATCACTAGAAGCTCTAGCAGCTTCTAACTTGGGTTTATTTTATTTTATTTTTATTTATCATGTGCTTGGAAGTCAGATAATCAACTTTAAAAAGTTGATTTTATATATTTTAATATATTTTATTAATTTTTCACAGAGAGGAAAGGAGAGGGATAGAGAGCTAGAAACGTCAAGAGAGAAACATCGACCAGCTGCCTCTTGTACACCCCCCACCGGGGATGTGCCCGCAACCAAGGTACATTCCCTTGACTGGAGTCGAACCTGGGACCTTTCAGTCCACAGACTGATGCTCTACCACTGAGCCAAACCGGTTTCGGCCAGATAATCAACTTTTGTGAATTGAGGGCCTGAGAGAGTCTCTTACAAGTACATTTTATCAATGTTTCTGTTACAGAGTATTGTTTCTTTATACCTGGTTATGTTTTCTTATTTTGAGTATTTGATAATTGATATTTAGCTACCTTTCTCTCTATACAAATGATACTAAATAATAAAATAACATAAGCAGCACTTCTATAATGTTTTGTTCTGTATTATATAATCATGTATATAGTAAAGAGCGCACATATTTCAAGGTATGAATTTTATTTAAATTTCATTTAGTCTTAAATTTAAAAAGTAAAAATAAACTTTAATTTGAAATCAATTTAAGTTGATAGGTAATGTGATCCTTATATTTTAAAAAAGTATTTGTTTTAGCTATAGACCTTTACAAAGATAACAAGTATTTTATTTTTATTCATTTTTTAGTTTTTGTTTCACATTGTTGAGCCTGCTTCCTGCATGTATAAAATTAATACTTCAGCCCTCTCCCAAAGGATTCAGATATACTCTGGTAAGTTTCCCATTACTTTATGTACTTAATTCTTGCTGAAACTCAACTTTTAAAAATAGAGATAATCATTTGCTCTGAGCAGGAGGCTTTATTGGGTTGGAACATTCATTTATTTGATGAACATTTATTGAGTGTCTGCCATACTTAGGTACTCTGTTTGGCGTTAGGTTGAGCAATAAGAAACTTTCAGTTTAATTCAACAGTTATTTAAGTTCTGCTTCGTATTAGTCAACGAGGAAATCAAACAAGAAAACGGTGGTGATAGACATATGCTTAAATAATTATGTGATAGAGCAGATGGTATTAAGTTCTGTTTGGTACAGATTAGGTGCTATGACTGTGCGGGAACAGGAGCTATTACTTGGGGGCAGATGTTAGACAGCCTCTTAGAGCAAGCGGGATTGGAGACGAAGTTTGAAAGCTGGGCAGGATTTAGGATAGGAGGTTATATAGCAGGAGAGAATTCAAGACAGGAGGGAGAACTTGAAGGTATAGAGGTGAGAAACGATAAGGAGTGCTCTGGGAACAGCTATTGAACCTTGAAAAGTGTGTGTGTGTGTGTGTGTGTGTGTGTGTGTGTGTGTGTGTGTGTAGAGGATACAGTGAGAGAACAGAACCAAAAAGGAACAAACTGTGTAAGAGCTTGAGTGTCAGGTTGACTAAGTTGGAGTTGGATTTGTGTGCAAGTGGACCCAGAAAACAATTTCTAAGCAGGGGACGGGACAGATATCTGTTGTAGAAAGATGACTTGTGTCAGTTTGAAGGTGCATTGGTTCTATTTCCTATAGTTTAGGGTTTCTCTGAGTGGGTTTACAAATCCCTCCAGGTTGTATTTCTGTGGCACTTTTACAATTTTGTTCCTGTGTGCATGGGCCTATAAAATGACATTTAAAAAATATCTTTTAATATGTCCAGAAAATTTGGTTTATGAAAACAGTAAGTCAGTGGACTTTAGAAGGGCACAGCATTTTAGGAATTAGGGTTTCGATTCTGGGACTGCCACACACTTCCACTGCATTCTAAAAAACAAGCCATAACAGCATACTGCTGAAATACTTCACAAGTGCCTATCAGTACCACAATGTAAAAAAATAGTTTCATGTTCTTCTTCTCTTTTGATTACCTTTTTATTGACGTTTTCTGTTGTTTGATTCTGTGAATGAACTCGGAGCACACTGAGTCATCTACGGTTAATATTCCATAGGACTTTTAGAATAGAGGGATATGGTTAGTAATGCTCCAGTGTCTTCAATAGGCCTAACTTGAAATATTTGCAAGCTTGTATCAGAGTAGGCTATTTCTTTGGGAAATAGCATGCTAAATAAAGGTATATTTCAAAGACAATGGAATGCAATTTCAGAGTTTGAGTAGCTGTGGCAGCACTAGAGATGATTACTTTCAGGGATTATAAGCCAGAAAAAACATTTTCTCTCTCTGAGTTTCCTAATTTTATTCTGTTTTAATACAAGCCACTGTGTTTAAAAAAAAACAACAGAAAAAGACATATTAGTGACTTGCTATTTTATTTTTTGCTGGTAAAGTTTTGAATTCCTATTGAATACTTCTAAGAGCTTTAAAAATATTTCTCATTTTAATTTCTTTAAAGTGTTTTCCTTTGCATGAAGACTGAATTATTCTCAAGTCAATTCTCCATATAAATCTGTAATTGAGGTAATTGATGGTATGAATACTAATATATTTATAGCAGCAAAATGACTTATATTTAATTCATTCAAGTAGTACTTATTGAGTGCTCGCTAATGTGTCCAGTCCTTTTTAAGGTACTGGCATGTGAGGGAATGACAGCGAACATCCCCGATCTCTTAATTCTGGCAGAAGAGCTACAATAAACAAAATAAATCAGTTAATAAGAAGATATCTGGGAGCAGTGAAGACTATGAAGAAAATAGTGTTATGTGAAAAGAGTGCGGGTAGGCTTGGTTAGGGGCACTACATTAGATTGAGTATGGGAAGGCCATTCTCAAGAAGTGACACTGAACCTAGAACTGAGTGATCGAACAGAAAGAGCCATTCCAAGAAGATCTGGGCTCTGACTTGACAAAAGCAGCTTTTTCCTTAAGGCAGGAACACGTTTGAGGCTTACAGGCACAGGTCTGAAGTGCTAGTGTGAAGTGCGGGAGGAAGACTGCAGTAGACTGGAAGAGGAAGGCAGGACCCAGATGACACAGAAGGGAAGCAATTGAAGGAATCCTATATAATAAAAGGCTAATATGCAAATGGACCAAATGGCGGGAACCACTGGTCGCTATGACACGCAGTGCACTCCCACAGGGGGAGCACCACTCAGCCAGAAGCTGGGCTCATGGCTGGTGAGTGCGGTGGTGGGAGCCTCTGCCACCTCTACAGCAGTCCGACATCCCCCAAGGGCTCCCGGACTGCAAGAGGCGCAGGCCCGGCTGAGGGATTTCATGCACTGGGCCTCTAGTTTAAATATAAGGAGATTTCCGTGACCGGGCATGGTGGTTGACTGGAGAATGGCTTGGAAGGAGGCAAGAGTGTTACCAATTAGGAGGTTTTGCAGTAGTCCAGGAATTCCAGGAGAAAGATGGGGGTGGCTCAGAGCACTCTTCCATCACCGTCAGCAGAGGGAAGGAGAGATGTGGGTGGCGGTGTACAAAGGATTTGCTGATGGGTTGGCTGTGTAGCATGCACAAGGTTGTGACCCACATATTTTACTTGAATGACTACATTTGGATGTATACTGATGTCTGATATTCAGAATATAAACTTCTGAAAATGGATCATGTAATTTTTTATTTAAAATCTCAAATAGCAAATGATTACTTTATAAAACATTTATTGTTATTGAAAAGCACATTTTATTTAAACTTTGATTGTGGTGACATTGGTTAATAACATTCTATAATTTTCAGGAGTACATTGTAATTCAACATTTGTGTGCACTATAGGGTGCTCACCACGCAGTTTAGTTTCCTTCCGTCCCCAGGTATCTGACTCCCATTATCCAGTTCCCCCTCCTCTCACTCACTCCCTTTCCCGCTGGTAACTACCACCACTGTGTTGTCTATATCTATGTTTGTTTTTGTTTTGTTAGTTCATCTGATCTTTTTGTCTTATATTCCACATATGAATGAAATCATATGTGTATATTAATGAAATTATTATGAAACACTTAATATATTTTATTGAAATGCATGTTTTAGAAACACTGAAATAGATTTGTTTTGCCAGTTTTAGATTTTGACCTTCTTTTCCTTCATGCTTTTTAATTTAAGTTGTCAGAGATTCCAAGGGAGGATTAAGGCGTGATTGTTGTATTTGAAGTGTTTAGTAGTTTTGTTTATTAATAACTGAGTCTCAATGAACTTAATATATGATTAAGTATAGTGTTATAATAGTTTTCTCAAAAGTATGTTGGTTATATATTTTAATGAAATATTATGCATATTAGTGCTATGTATATATTTTCCTTCTAAATAGAAGCCACATTAAACTTTAAGGTTTTACTTGAAATGGCTTTTATTCAGATTCATTCTAAATTGCAGTTATATTTTGTAAGCTGTTATATTTCATTTCCCTTCTTTTTTTTTCTTAAAGGTTACCTGTGCACTATCATTCTTTTTATTTTCTTTCCAAGTACATGAAAAGTCCATTCTCTTAGTATCATTGTAAGTAAAAATGTTTCAAGTGTTTAATTATTATTCTATATAATAAAATTATAATATGCAAATTAACTGAACAGCCGATCACTATGACGTGCACTGACTACCCAGGGCAGATGCTCAACCAGGGGTCGCTGCCTCCTGGTGGTCAGTGCACTCCCACAGGGGGAGCACCACTCAGCCGGAAGCTGGGCTCACGGCTAGCGGTTGGCAAGCACAGAGGTAGTGGCAGGAGCCTTTGCCACCTCTGCTGCAGACGGTGATAAGGAGCGAGGGGGCCCGGACTGTGAGAAGGACCCACTCCCCCAGTGCATGAATCTCGTGCACTGGGCCTCTCGTGCATTTATAATATATAAATCAGTGATTTGCATGTAATTACATAAGTGTAAAATACAACTATGCAGATGTTATATAGTTGCATAAAGTTATTTCATAAAATCATACTTTTTTCAGAATGATGATCTTTTACAGTTTTATTTCTTTATACTTTAAACTGAAAATATATCATAGAAGTATTACCGACAGACTTATTTCTTCCTCTATATATTCTATATGTTAATAAAAAATGTCTTCAAAAGATTGGAATCTCTTTGTCATCTTTGCCTTTTCATTTTCATATCTATTCAAAGCCTGTTCTCTTCATTCACCTTTTTAGGCTTTCTTCTGTTGCCTCATTTCTATTTCTTTTGTCATAACCTTTGATTAGACTCTATTGGCAATCTCTAATCAGACTATTTTGTTTTAGGGGGCATTAATTTTTTCCCCTGATCTTCAGAAAATTGGGTGAGAGTTAAGGGTTTATTATTCCAATACTAAAATAATATTTGCCTAGAACACATTGGAATATTTGAATCCTAACCCACAACCACTTTACCCCCCCACCTTGTTCGCTAGGTTCCTGTGGAAGATATGTTCGGAGTGATCAGTGGCAAAGGGAAGTGGAGCTTTGCATTAAAACCTCAGTGCATAGCTTTATAGTAAGCTGGGCTGGCCTATGTGGAAGGCTTCTTTTCTTTGAACAAAAGAGTCTCAAATCAGTTTGATTTCATCCTCCAAAGTCTAAACCTGAGTCACCACTATTATGTGAGGCTAATCTGACCCAACACACACATCTCAAGTGCCAAGAACTCTGGAGAGGTATTTACTTTCAAATGTAGATTTTCCCTAGAATTTCTACCTCATAGAAAAGCAGCTCATTCAGTGACCCGTAATCTGACCATTCAGATTAGCTCTTGGGCTCCGAATACTATTAATAGATAATACTTGTAAGAGTTTTTCAATTACTTAACAATACAAGATATTATTATTTTAATTGCACATAAAAAAAAAAGTTAAATTAACCATTTATTCAAGGACATACAGTGAGATGGTGGCAGAGGTGAGACTAGGACTCAGGTTTTCTGAACAACCCCCGTCTCCCCCTGTTTTTTTTTTTTTTTTTTTTTAGTATGTTTTCATTGATTTTAGAGAGAGGAGGGGGGAGGGGAGAGAGAAACACCAATGATGAGAGAGAATCATTGATTAGCTGCCTCCTCCACATCCCCTACTGGGAATTGGGCCACATCCTGGCATGTGCTCTTACCGGGAATTGAACCATGAAATCCTGGTTCATAGGTTGATGCTCAACCACTGAGCCATGCTGGCCAGGCCCCTTCTTGAGCATTATTGCCACAGTTGAATCCAGAGGTAATGGGTCTAGAGGTTGGTGGTAAGGAGGTCACAGAGATGACACTTATGACCCTAAACCACTCTTTGGTAAAGTCAGTGGCTTCATTTCTTGGCATTACACTTCCTGTACCTATACTATTGCTCTTTTCATGTAGCTCTTCCTATTGTTCCTCCCCCTCTCTTTTATTCTACAATCATACACTTGTTTGCCTTTATAGTTCTTCTTTGCCTCTCTTGTCCTCTCTTGAGTGGCAGATGATCCTATTACTAGTTTTTAGCTGAGTAATATGTAATATGGAAGATCATACGAAAGAAGTATGAAAACCACTATTCTGGGAATTCATTTTATATTTACCAAATATGATGAAATATATGAAGCAGCTCTCTTTCTCTGTTTAGATTTGTTTTTCTGATCCTTTTTTTTTTTTTAAACTACTTTTGTATGATAAATATTCCACCAGTGGACTGAATTCTGGAAGTACTTTGCCAGTATTATGAGGAGTTGACACTTTCTCTGTATTTAGACTAATTTAATTTGGATTGGTGGTTATTAAAAAAATGAATCAGTAGTCTATATGAAGACCTTGATGGCTATTTTAAGTTTTTGGTTTTTAAGCTGCTCTGAAAATATGACAAAAAATGTCTTTATATTTTTTACAAGTAAGAGTTGAAATTATATTCTATAAGATTAAATCATTTTTTTCTTTATCATTTTAGACCTGTCTGCTTAGTTTTAAATGAAATTCCTTTTATGTCTACTTGGTTTTTACTTGTGTCGACATTTAGGTGAGTCAAACCAATTTCCATATAATATTTTCAGTTTAGTTCTTATGAACTTACTTAACATGTTTTTACAAAGTGATTATGGTTTCTATTTTCCCTTCTAGTATGCTACCTCTTCTACTGAAGGATGACCTTCTAATGCCCACAGTTGTGACAGTGATGGCATTTTTTATAGCTTGTGCAACGTGCTTTTCAATATTTGGAAAGACTTCAGAAGAAGAACTACAGTTGAAATCCTTTTCCATTTCTGTTAGGAAATATCTTCCATGTTTTACATTTCTTCCCAGAGTTATCCAACGTTTGGTAAGTTGTTTTTTAAGGAATGATTCTTAGCTTATGCCGGTACCATACTGTCTCATTTACTACAGCTTTGTAGTTTTAAAATTGAACACATGGGTTCTCCAACTTTGTTCTTTTTCAAGATTGTTTTAGCTTTCTCTGTCCCTATTCTATTTCCATATTATTTTTAGGATCAGTTCATTAATTTCTCTAAAAGCCCAGCCGAGCTTTTGAGAGGGATTGCTTTGAATCTATATATTAATTTATGGAGCATTACCATCTTAAGATTTTTGCCATCCAAACCCATGGACATAGGGTGTGCTTCCATTTATTTAGATATTCTTTAATTTCCTTCAACAATGTTTTATAGTTTTCAGTGTAAAAGTTTTACACATCTTTTGTTAATTTTCCCCCCAAATATTTTATTCTCCATGATGCCTTGTCAATAGAATTTTCTTAATTTCATGCTGAAACTGGTTTGGCTCAATGGTAGAGCATCGGTCTGCGGACTGAGAGGTCCCAGGTTCGATTCCGGTCGGGGGCATGTACGTTGGTTGCAGGCACATCCCCGGTGGGGGGTGTGCAGGAGGCAGCCAGTCGATGTTTCTCTCTCATCGACGTTTCTAGCTCTCTCTCTCTCCCTTCCTCTCTGTAAAAAATCAATAAAATATATTTTAAAAAAAGAATTTTCTTAATTTCATTTTCATAATGTTCATTGTTTCTGTATATAAATATAATTTGCTTTTTTTAATAATGAACTTGTATTCTGTGCTATAAATTTTTAGTGGATTTCTTGTGATTTTCTTTATACAAGATCATGCCATCTGCAAATCGTGATAGTTTTACCTCTTTTTTTCCAATCTGGATGTCTTTTCATTTCCTTGCTTATAAATTACCCTATCTAGAACTTCTGGTACAGTGTTTAAAACAGTGGCGAGAGTAGACATCTCTTCTTCCTGATTTTAAGGGGAAAGCATTTAGTCTTCCTACATTAATTATGATGTTAGCTGTGGTTTTTTTGTTTGTTTGTTTGTTTTTTAAGTAAATGGCCTTTATTTGGTTAGGAAGTTTTTCTATTCCTAGTTGAATGTTTTTATCATGAAAAGGTATTGATTTTGTCACCTGCTTTTTATATATCTAATGAAATGGTCATGTGATTTCTCCCCTTTATTCTATTAATGTGACACATTACATTAATTTTTGTATATTGAATTAGCTTTGCATTGTTAGGATAAGTCCCACTAAATCATGATGTACAACCCTTTAAAAAAATTATTGATTTTTTTTTTTTTTTTTGAGAAAGGGAGAGAGAGAAAAAGAGAGAGATAAAGGTTAAGAGAAACATTGATGTGAGAGAGAAACATAGATTGGTTCCCTCTCGCATGCACCCAGACTGGGGATCAAACCTGCAAACTGGGTATGTGTCCTAACCAGGAATCAAACCCACCACCTTTTGGTATATGGGATGATGCTCCAACTTAGCCACACTGGTGAGGGTGATGTACAGTTCTTTTTAAATGCCACTGGTTTGGGTTTACCAGTATTTTATAAAAGACTTTTGCTCCTATATTCATAAGGGATATTGATCTGTAGTTTTCTTTTCCTGCAATGTCTTTTTCTAGTTTTTATTTTTATTTTTATGTACGGTAAGCAGTGATGTCCTTTTTTCACTCCAGATTTGAGAATTTGTACGTTTTTAAAAATAAATATATTTTTATTGATTTCAGAGTGGAGAGGAAAGGAGGAGAGAGAAACATCAACGATGAGAGAGAATCATTGAATAGCTGCCTCCTGCACGTCCCCTACTGGAGATATAGCCCACAGCCAGGATAAATGTCCTGACTGGGAATCAAACTGTGACCTCCTGATTGATAGGTTGATGCTCACCACTGAGCACGTGGGCTGGACTATTTCAGCATTTTTAAATATACTAACTTTTATGTTAATTTCTCCTTAATTTTTGAAGGGCACTTTTGAAAAATTGTCTTTTTCTTTTAGCAACTTGAAAGTCATCCATCCCAGTGCCTTGTGGCCTCCATGTTTTCTGATGAGAAGTCAACCATTAATCTTATTGAAGATAGCTTTCACATGTATTTTAGTTTTAGATGCTTATTTGACACCCAAGTGGAGATAGTAAGGAGCGCTTGGATATATGCATCTGGAGTTTAGGGGAGAAGTCTGGGCTGGGGACAGTAATCTGAGTCTTGGCATATAAATAATAAAGTTATGTCACTGAATGAGGTCACCAAAGGTGTGAGTATAGATTAAAGACCAAGTACTGAGCCCTGGGATAGTACAATCATAGAGACAACAGACATGAGAAGGAACTAGCAAATTTGTTGTGAAGGTTTAACTAGTGGGAAGAAATGAGGAGAGTGTGGTGTCATGGAAGCCAAGTGTTTCAAGAATATGGGAGTGTTGTGCTACTTCAGATGCTGCTGGGAAATCCATTAAGGCAACCAGAACCGAACATTGGATTTCGCACAGTGGAGGTTATCGTGGGTCTCTGACTGGGGCAGTTTCATTGGAGCGATTGGGGTGAAAGCCTAACTGGTGTGTGTTCACTAATGAATGGAAGAATTGGATGCAGCAAGTTCTTTTGGGAAACTTTCCTGTAAATAGGAGCAGACAATAGGGGTAATAGATGGAGTTGGTTTAAAAAGGGGAGGACTTTTAGCATGTCTTTTAATTCTGATCCAAGTTCATGTTATCATGACATTTCAGTCCATCCCGTATTTCTTAAGCTATTTTATTTTGATTTTGAAAGTACATTTATTAAACCTGTGAACAATGGAACAAAGGAGAAGCAACAGGGAAGAGCCTCGGTGGGGCTGTGGTCAGCTCACTGGGAGTCAGAGAAAAGGGGCTTCGGGAGAAGGTTCAGGGGGTTAGCCCAGGATGAGGGGCCATTGCCCATTGCTCCCCTGGTTGCAAGTCTTGTGGAGTCTCTTAACGTTTAGGAGATGCACCCTGTGTGGGAAGAAGAGGGGAAGGGAAAGGCACGGTGTGCTCATGTGCTTTTAAGTTCAACTTGATGATTTCAATTCAGAAATGTTCAGTCACCACAAGACTGACTCAGGGATTTTCCCTTTGGAGGATACTTGCACCCTGTTCGTAAGTCTTTGGCTCCCATCCTTCCCCGTCTTCCATCTGGAATGATCATTGCATTACTCTATTCAGGTCTTACAAATCCCTTCGTAATATAGCCATTAAAGCATCTCTCAGGGTTCTGTTTATGCCTCACCTCCTTCAAGGAAGTCAGTGACTATGGTTTCTTACTGCTTGCTTTCTACGTTCACTTAAGCAGCCTCTGTGTATTTATGTACTATGCTAGGGATAAAAGAAATAAGATTTGGCTGGTCCTTGTCTTAATGAAGTTCATAGTCTAATAAAGCTAAGTGTCCAGTACAGTAGCCACTAGACACACGTGGAGATTTAAACTCAGAAAATTAAATACAATAAAGAATATACTCCTCACTTGCAGCAGGCTCACTTCAAATGCTCAGCAGTCACATGTGGTTAGCCCCTATTTGCGAAGTACACAGATAGAGCACATTTCCATCATTGCAGAAGTTCTGTTCAGTGCTCCAGTCTCAAAAAAAAAAAAAAAAAAAAAAAAAAAAAGGACTGCTACGTAATTACAATGAATGCAATCATTATTTTTACTCTTCATTTTGGCATTTATTAAAATGTGACCGTGTGATTTTATTTAACTTGTTTATGCATTTCCCCTAATTAAATGGAAAACTCTTTGAGACCAGAGGACATTTTCCTGCATGTGCTCCACCTTGCTTACTACAGCACTGGCTCATTGAAAGCATAGTGAACATGAAATATAATTTTCTGTTTGCCATGGATAACTTTTTCCATGAATGGGTTTTTAAGATTAGCTTAGAATTTTATGTCCTGTAAGGATGTAGGGTCGTGGAGCATGCAGTGAATTTAACCCGGATGGGCAATTATGTTCCAGGTAATCTGGGTGGTATGAAATATGACAGGGGTTCTTAGATTTTCCCTACGCATTGGAATCACTTGAAGAACTTTAAAAATAATGTCAGCTGATCCTAACTTGCAGTTTAGGTTGAGATCCACCGTAAAGAGATTTATCTCCCCCCCCCCAACCCTCCCCTTCAATTCTGATTTACAGCTGCAAATTAGTGCTACATTAAAATTTCTTTTACATTACTTAATTATACGTCTTTTTCCTTACAGTTTCTTATGTCAGTGATCACTATGGTCCTTCTGACATTGATGACTGTAACGCTGGATCCTCCTCAGAAATTCCCGGACTTATTTTCTGTTTTGGTGTGTTTTGTATCCTGCTTGAAATTCCTGTTCTTTTTGGTTTACTTTAACATTATAATCATGTGGGATTCCAAAAGTAGAAGAAATCAGAAGAAAACCGACTAGTCTACCTCCAAATGCGAATATATTAACAGTGATAAAAAGTTTTGTGAAGTTTTTGCCATGTATAAATAAAAGAATCATTTTGAGTATTATGGAATTACTAGAGACGTGGTGCACGAAATTCATGCACAGGGGGACGGGTCCTTCTGCCCAGCCTGCACCCTCTCCAATCCAAGGCCCCTCAGGAGATGTCCGATGCCAGTTTAGGCCCAATCCCCAGGATGGGGTTTAAACGGGCAGTTTGACATCCCTCTCACAATCCGGGACAACAGGCTCCTAACTGCTCACCTGCCTGCCTTCTGATCACCCCTAATGGCCCCCCCTGCTGCTCTGGTTCCCCCAATTATCCCCTCACCAGCCTGGTCATCACTAACTACACCCCACCAGCTTGGTCTCCCCTTACTGCCTCTTCTGCCAGCCTGGTCGTCCCTCACTGCCCCTCCCTCCCCCACGGCCTTGTTGCCACCAACTGCCCCCCCTGCTGGCCTGATGGCCCCACACAGCCCTCTAGTCAGTCATTTGGTCACCTTCACTAACCCTCCTGCCGACCTAGCCTGTTTGGTCATCTGAATGGTTTTGGTTGCGACGACCACTTAGGCTTTTATATATATAAATAGGAAACAATGAAAAATTTTTCTCTACACAAATGAAAGTATTTGGGGACCAAAGCCCAATGGAGGCTTTTTTTTCCTTTCTATTCACTGGCCAAGACATACTGGAATTTTGTTAATATTCTGTTATTTAAGTGGGAAAACAAACAAAAAAAAAGCCCTTCGTCCCAGTATTTATTTAGAAAATGTACTCTATAATTTATTATCTTGAAAAAAAATCTGCAAATACATCAAATTCAATGGAGGAATTTAGCCCCCTCCCTTTTTTTAAAGGAAATTTTTAATTTTGTTATTAAAATGTAATTTTCTTGCCCTGGCCGGGTAGCTCAGTTAGTGTCATCTCAGTATACCAAGGTTGTGGGTTCGATTCCCAATCAGGGCACATATAAGAATCAACTTGTGAATGCATAAATAAGTGGAACAAGTTGATGTTTCTCTTTTCCCCTTCACCTCTCATTTTAAAATAAATATTTTAAAAGTTTTCTGTACATTTTATTTATTTTTTAAATGTGGACAAGTGTATTAGTGACCAGTTGTGATTTTTATTTTATTTATTTTTTTAATATATTTTATTGATTTTTTTACAGAGGAAGAGAGAGGGATAGAGAGTTAGAAACATCGATGAGAGAGAATCATCGACCAGCTGCCTCTTGCACACCCCCTACTGGGGATGTGCCCACAACCAAGGTACATGCCCTTGACCGGAATTGAACCTGGGACCTTTCAGTCCACAGTCTGACGCTCTATCCACTGAGCCAAATCGATCTCTGCAAAAAAGTTTTCTTTACATTTTAGAATGCAAGTAATGTGTATTTCATTCTCTACACGTGCAAATTTGAGTTTTTTTTTTAACAAGGCAGGAAGAGTAAACTTATTTATTTCTAAGAATGTTAATTTACTTGAATGTAATTAAACCATGAATTTTCCTGAATTAAAGTCTAAGTGGTTTGAGTGAAGTCTTTTTATTTCTCATGATCACTAGGTTCAAAGCTTTGAGGATCACTTGAAGTTAAATGCTCTAATGCAGACTTTTATCCTTCTGTTATTTTTTATTTTAATACTAGAGGCCTGGTGCATGAATTTGTGTATGGGTGGGGTCTCCAGGGAGGGCTGGGACATGATCAGCCCTCCAGGTGGGTGGTGGGACGCCCTTGCTGACCCAGAATTTGGATCCATCCTGCTGACCTTTGCATCAGTTGTTGGGAGCCATCTGGCAGCCACTTTTATATCCCTTCTTCCTTGTGGAGCATCTAGGGAGGGGAAGTGACTGTGGTGCCTGAGGCTGACTTCCAGGAGGCTGGCACTGTCAGGATCATGGGCATGACTTGTGGGCGTGGTTTGTGGAATGGAGTGATGGTTAATTTGCATATTACTCTTTTATTAGGTAGGATTATTTTTACCAGTTGAATATTAGAGTAAATATGGGCTTCTGCTAATATAAAGTGATACAGTAATAACAAGGCCAAGTTAACATGAAGCATGATAGAAGCCAAAGCTCATGGCACTAGTAACCTTGAACTATATATATATATATATATATATATATATATATATGCCTGAATGAGCAGTCAACCTGTCGCTATGACACACACTGACCACCAGGGGGCAGACACTCTAATGCAGAAGCTGCCCCCTGGTGGTCAGTGCACTCCCACAGCACGAGTGCCACTCAGCTGACTGACCCATCCCTGATCCATCAGCCCAGTGGCAGCCACTCATTCCCTCAGTAGTCCTGCTGGTACAATCTCTGGAGAATGGGCCAGGCATGAACATACCAAAGCCACCAGCACGATCCTGACAGTGCCAGCCTCCTGTAAAGATGTGTCTTTAATCTGTGATAAAAACATAACAATCACTTTCCCATTAAAAAATATATACATATTTTAATCCTCATCCAAGGATATTTTTCCATTTCCATTGCTTTTCATAGTGAAAGGAGCGGGAGGAGAGAGGGAGGGAGAGAGAGGAATTGGGTGCCTCTTGAACAAACCCTGACAGGAGCTGGGGACTGAAACTGCAACCCAGGTACATGCTTTTGACTGGGAATTGAACGAATCCACAATCCTTCGGTCTATGGGCCAACACTCTAACCAATTAGCAACACTAGCCAGGGCCTCTCAACATATATTTTTAATGAATATATCTATTACTAAGACAGCATGAAAGCAAATTAGCTAAGTGGTGGTGTATTTTAAAACAATGCATGGATAGCGGAAACTGGTTTGGCTCAGTGGATAAGAGCATTGGTCTGCAGACTGAAAGGTCCCAGGTTCAATTCCGGTCAAGGGCATGTACATTGGTTGCAGGCACATCCTCTATAGCTGGTCGATGTTTCTTTCTCATCGACGTTTCTAGCTCTCTATCTCTCTCCCTTCCTCTCTGTGGAAAATCAATAAAATATATTCAAACAAACAAACAAACAAACAAACAAACAAACAAAAAACAACCAAAAAACAATGCAAAGATAAAGAAAATTTGGTTTTTGACTTGGACAATCACAGGCTGTTGCAAGAAGGTATGTGTCTCTCAGTCTGATAAAGGGAGTGGGTTTAGACAAAGCGAAAACCAAGAAGTATTTCTTTCTCAAAGTAAATGTGCATAAAGACTCAACGGGCAGGTCCGCAGAGGAAAGCAGCCTTGAGTCACTGCCGAATCAGCAGGAACATCGCTGTCCATGGGCACCATCTGTAATCAGTGTGCCCAAATGTCAGCATCTTGGCTGGCTGGTGTAGTCTTACGTTTTTATTTTTTGTAATAGTGTACTTGTGTTAGCACAGGATGTTGATTTAAGTCAAAGATGAGGTTATTCTAACTTCTGAATAACTGGAACAGAGAAATGTTATTTGAAAATAAAAGTATATAAACAGTAAAATAGAATGTGCACATATTCAAGGTTATCTTGTAGGTAAATTCTGTAAATAAACTACTTTCCGGAGGATTTCATCTAATGTTACTGAATTACATTGTAGCTTTCATGGAGATTTATAACAATTACTTTAAGTCAAATGTCTCATATCTGTTAGAAACCAGTTGAAGAAAAGTCAACTTTGTACTTTGAGAGATTTAAGTTCCAAAATATCAAAAATGTCCAGTGATGAATTGAGATCATAGAAATAGGCAATTCTGTCAGATATACCCAGAAATATAGGGATGTTTTAATACAAGACATTTAGGTTTTATAAAAATATTAAAGATTTCTCACTTTCTTCACTAATATACCTGTCAAAAATAAACTCTTCTAAGTTATTCTCAACTTCATTTTAGAGGGAAGGGCTGTTTCTGAAAAATGCAGTTTTCTCTGTTGCCAATAAACTAAGGGTTGCTTCTTAAAATGAAGAGAATAGGGTGTATGTTCATGTATCAGATATGAGGCACAGGAAGTCATTTTCCCTTGAGCCCGTAGGGAGGGGAGAAAAATCCTCGATGTAGCATTCTGTCCAAATGATAAACCACAACTAAGTGAGTGAAACATTCACAAAAGTCAAGGCAGCCCAAGGATCCTCTCTGTTCAATAGAAACAGAGTAAGAGATGGATAGGATGCAACTAAATAATGGTTGGAGTAACACAATGGTTTCAAATCTCAATTGGTCTTTTTTCTGTTATGTTCACTGGAAAATCAGGGCCAAGTGTATCCACCCCCCACCCCCATATAAACATTAGTTTTGTGTGTGGATCTTTCTGCTTTGTCCTTCATGTGGCCTCCAAGGGTGATAAAGCGAGAGTCATCTGATCTACAATGAAGAGAACTGAGAAATGATTCTTAGCAGACCCAGCTGTTCTGAAAGGCAAAAGCTTAGTATATCAAGAGGTCAGATATACAGTAACTGATTTAATAGCATTAAGCACATACCTACATAGCTTGGATTACATATGAAACCAATCTATTTCTTAACTATTTCCTCACTAAAGTAGTTTTCTTTATATTGTATTGGCTTACATTCTAGGTTTTCAATGATTTAGAATGCAAAGGAATGATCCTTTTTGGTATATTTTAGGTAATGTTCTATAAGGGCTGTGTCACAAAGTATTCTTAATATTTAGTAGATCGATTATCTCAAAAAATTTATTTAAATAGTACCAAGACATAAGAGAAGGCAATTAGGCTTAATTGGACTACTGTTTAGTATTTGTCATTTAAATTAATATTTTTTAAAAAATTCAAAAAATTTTTAAGAAGTGAATTTTAAATTTCTCTAAATGGTAATTATTTTCAACCTTAATTTGTTAAATTTTAAGATGTTCAAATAGTATTTTTATTTTTATGGTACACTGAATTAAATGACACGAAAATATCCTATACAAATTTTGTTAAGACCTAGGTCAACTACCAAGGAGTAACATTTATCCCCTGTAGGGAAATCATGTTATCAAGTTAATACATATTCTGTGAT